AGAGAGAGAGAGAGAGAGGGAGATTTGTCGGTTGCACTGGGAAGAAGATTTGTCAGTTGCAGACCCCTGCTTTGCAGGTTCATGGTTGACGAGTTTCTCATGCTAGTCTGCTAGTCTCATGCTGAGACTGCTTGTCCTGGATTCTTTAGCTAGGTTAATGGTAGCTTGAGCGAGAACAATGCTCGTTTCTCAAGGCTAACAAGTTTCACAGGTTTCATTGCGAATTGTACAGTCGCATTGGCGAGTTCCAAACTTCGGCCAGCGAAGATCTTGCTGCTGCTTGAATCGTACACCGATTTCGAAGCAGAGTTCTCTTTCGAGCGATTTTGGCCCAGGTTGGAGTCTTGACTTCGGGGCGAGTCCATCAAAGCTTATTTGCAGTGGAAGTCGACCAGGCGATCCTTCGAGAGCTTCTAGCAGAACCTCACGGAGACACAGACATAGGTTGCTATGGCTCCCCTCGCAATCGCCGAGCTGTCGCTTTGTGGGCTTATCTCGCGGTTGAAGGAGGTGCTTACAGCCCTTGACCCTTCCATGCTTTTTGTGAGTGCAACCACACAGACGCATTTGGAGTAGTGGTTCAGGTGGAGCACATCAAAGGCCTGGTGCCGAAGAGAAAATTGTGGCAGCCAGGCTTCCGTTCCGTTCCGTTTTGGAGGCATCAAGAGCCCTGATGATGAGCAGGCTTGGTGAAGCTCTCAGCTTGCTGGAGCAGCAGGGCTTCGGACTTCAGGCCGCAATCCTTTCCACAGAAACGGATGTCAAGAAGGCTCTGTTCGAGCAGCTGCAGGCAGGGTAGCAGTATCAGGTGATGATGTGACTGCCCAGAGCATTTCAAGCAGGCTGCGAAAGCAGACGGTGTGGCTTCCTTCGAAAAAAAGGTTGGGAAAGAGTCGAGGCCTTAGCTAGCTGAAATCAGCAGCCTTCCCAAGCTACTTCTCCCTCGGATCCCCACAGCATATCGTGGCCGAAGGTTTCTGCAGGAGCAGCTGAAGTCCATCGACGACACCTCCAAAGGTTCGTCCGCACCGGGAATCGAAGTGTGGTTTTCCGTGCCGTTTCTCCAGGAGGTCAGGCAAAGAAGACCAAGCTTCAGGAGCTACTGACCGGCCTAGAGGCGCAAGCGGACACATGCTGGCTTCCTCGAGCCGTGCCCTTGCACAAGTTTTTTCAGGGTGAGCTTGGCTTTTGTGGCACACCCATCTGTAGCACATGGCTCTCAGTGCCCCCCAGGGCAGCAGCCTCTTGTTGTTGGGCTTCCCTGGCATCCTGTCAACTTCAGCCACCCGCCGCCAGCAGGCGGCGTCAAGCAGAGACGACCCTGCGCACGTTCGCCGAGCCAGGGCCTCGAAGATTTGCGGAGAAAGTTGCGCAGCTGGCGCTCGGAGGCAAAGCAGGACGTAGCGAAGTCCGAGAAGGCCTTCGAGGCCGAGCACTTCGAGTCTCAGCCGGGCTGTTCCCTGGGATGTTGTGGAGGATATCCGCAAGGACTACGAGCGCTTGAACCCCGGCAGCTTCCGCACAGAAGAGCATCGCTCGGAATCGTTCGTGAGCCAGAGGATGGGAAAAAGGGAAAAAGATGTTGTGGGCCGAGCATGTGAGCGTCAGAGAAAATCCCACAGCAGAGACAAATTTGGAACTTGAGGCTCAACATTGATGAGATAAAGGTTCTCAAGCGCTCCTTCGAAGAAAGCAAGGCCAAGGTGGAGAAAGCCAGGTGCCTTCGCGATTCTTCGGATGCCGGAAGTCATCCCTTCGCCCCAGCTGGCAGGGCGATTGTCGAGGAGCAGCAACTCCGCCGAGCGGAAGCGGCCGTGGCGCCGGTGGCGGAGGAAAAGGAGAGGCGCGCAACCAATTTCCTGAAAAGGGCCTTGGGGCAGCAACGAGAGCGGGTTTGCTTTCTGGAAGAACGAGATGCCCCGATCGTCAAAGCTGGCCAGGGGGGCAGCTGCCCTTGCTGCAGAGGCACGATCTGCTCGAGCCCGAGCCGTCGCCAGCAAGGCCGGAATGTTGGCTTACTCACTGAACTTCGGAAGGGATGGAAAGACCAGACTGCTCAAGATTGTCAGGCGCCTTCCCGGCCAATGAATCCGAGCGTCACGTCGAAGGCTTGATCTTTTTCAAAGATTCTTAGCATGCCTCAGAGCACATGTGATGCCACGCCACACACGAACCCCCCCCCCCTTTTTTCATGCAGGCAGCCGCGCCTGCAGGCATGGAGATACATGCCGAGAGGAAACTTGCGATATCTTGCGATTATGCAGGATACCCGCCAAAGGCAGCGGTAGCTCCCGCCGCATTGCGTCAGGCGCAGGTTGCGGCCCAGGCGAGCCAATGCTGGCAACTCCTGTAGCATTGGGATTCGAAGAACTGCATCAGGTGAGGGCCGAAGCCGAAGTGCCATCAATCCCAGAAGGATCCTGAGCCCACTCTGCGTCGTCAAGACATATCCTTTCATGCAGTGAGACCTGAGACCTGAGGCCTCAGCGCCAGCCCCGCGGCCTCGGCCAGCCCCAAGGCCCAAGGCGGAGGTCGGGGCCGACGTGCAACCGAAGCCCCCCCGAGTTTTTTTTCATCGTGGAAATGGCCCGAGGACGCACCTGTGCTTTCTTATGCTGTTTCCTCAGCACGATCCGAGAGAGAGCGAGAGCGAGCGACAAATTGCTGTGTCAAGGCATGCACATGTACAGCAGTTGCGCAACATCTTGGAATCACAGAGGCCGGTTGTGACAGAGGGCGTCTTTCAAACTCTACATAGAATTGGTGACTCTTCGTGTCCCTTGATGCAGGCGCAGGCCAGAGAGCTCGCTGAATCTGCCCGGGACTTCGCTCAGCACTTTGACGCTGAGACTTGGGAAGCCCTCCAGGCGCCTAGTTTGACTCGCATGTCGCATGCTGGATGACCTGCATGCAGTGAGAGGAAAAGTCCTTGGCCATTGAGAAGGACTCACGACGCGGGTATGTCCCTGCAAGTGGGCACAAGTGATGGACGGCAGGCCAATCAGGAGAAGCAGCGCGAGGCAGAGAGGCGGAAGAAGGAGAAGGCCTTGGCCAAGGTGCGGCCAAGTTCTTTTCACTGGTCAGCTCGTCAGGTGGTGCACACCCGACAGAGCCACAGCTTGCGAGTCCTCCCAGCATGCTTCCCTAAACTCCTGTGTCCCTCCCAAAAACCGACTTTAAGTGCTTGACAACTATACCGGGTCAAAGCAGAGCGTGTCAACCGAAGACCCCGCTGCGTCGGATTGTCTGCCTGCGATGCAGGTGACACAGGTTCAGAGTAGCTGCGTGCTCAGAAAGGGTTGGTGTGCTCCTTCCAAACAACATCCTGTACTGGAAGGTGCTGCTGCTGTAGGCGCTGGCGCTGGCGCAGCCAACGCCAAGACCGCGGCCAAAGCCGCTCGTGCCTTTGGTCCCGGGAAGCGTTTCCAAGCTGTCCAAACGCGACCAGTGTCGAGGTCCCGCAAGCCGTAGTCGGCAGAAGCCCCGAGCCAGTCGCTGCAAAGGCAAAGCCAAAGGCCGCACATCGCTGAGGGAAGCGCGACAAAGCGAGCGGCGAGTCGAAGCGGCGGCCCGAAGAAGCGCAGGTCAAAGCGAAGAGCGCAGCCAAGGAGCTTCCACGTCCGGGGCCCGGCCCGCTCGGTCCGGCGGGTCCCGTCCTGACATCCTGATATCGGCCCCCCGGCTCCGCAGGTCACGATGGACTCTCAAGCTTGGCTGGCGCCAACAAGTTTGGAGGCCTTGTTTTTGAGATATGCACATGGGGCTAGACACCTAGAATCTCCCAGATTTCAAAGATGCAGGTCTTGAATCAGATGAGGAGGAGGAAGGCCCCGGTGACGAGATTTGATCACGAAGTGTAGGCCCAAACAGCGGCATTCGGCCAAGGTTGGGCAAAAGTGAGGCGGTGAGTCTCGAAGGGTGGGTTGGCCCATCCCTTCGAAACCGTGTACAGTCAATTCTCGAAGGTGCATCCTCTGGACATGGAGCGCAATCAACACCGATCTTCATAACCCTGGGGCTGGAAGACAGAGACGCCATGCCCCAGGGCATAAACTGCAGGGCACGCTGGACTTCAACAAAAAATGCTTTGGGCTTCTGACGCCCTGTAACAACGGCTGCACAGAGCGGCGCTGCGCAGCTGCAAAAATGCTGATGTGGGCAGCTGTCGGGCTCAGTCCGTTCCTAGGCCTCCCATGACTCCATGAGCATTCTACTGAAGGCTTCGCATGGTATGGAGGGGCTGGTGACTTGTCTTGCTGTGAATTCCTACAGTAGGTCTTGCATACGCCAGAAAAGCTGCTGGCACAGTGCAGTGATGCGGGGTGTGCAGTTCACGATAGGGCGGAACCGACGGTGCTTGAAGTGAACCCGAGGCTGGCTTTCAGGATGCTCGGTAGCAGTCTGGCGCACTGGCTCCCAACTACACTCCCACGAGTGGCACCTTGGACCGTGGGTTTCGAGCCGGAGCCTGTACCATGCTGGAGGCAAGTCGACAGCCTGTCGCAATGTTGCAAACGAGAGGGCTTTCAGACCTGCGGCGGCGAAAATGTGCGCTCAAGATGCTGTGCGTTCCCCGGAAACGTGATTCACGGGGAAGGCTTGCTGCCAGAACTCGCAGAGGAATGCTGGGTCACAACCACCCCGATGAATGTGACACAGGATATCAACGGCCCCTTCTGGGTCAGGCAGCGGAACTATCTTGTCAGCTGGGTGCTCGCAAACCATCCCAACGATGTACTGGATACGCCGTTGAGAGAGCATGGGGAGATTTCAGAGGAGATGTCAGCACTGCTGGCTGCAGAATGTCAAGTTGGTATCATCGCACTTCAACTTCTGCAGAGCGAAACTTGCAGCAGCACACGTTCTGCTGCAGCTCAGCAAGTGCTGCGAATGCCTTGGCCAGCTGCCGTGTTCAGTGGTTGGCCAGTGTTCCTCCTATTGGCACATGCTGCCGAAGATGCCTGCAGCCTTCCTTCCAACAGCTCCGACGATGACGTGCTGGTCGCCGCGCTGCTGGGACTCTGTGAGAAGATGGAGGCTGCTGTTGCCGGGACCGCCCGGCTTGCTGCCGAGGCGGCCTCTTCAGGTGATCCCTGGGTCATCCAGCCTGGCGAGAGGCTCACTGCGCAGATGGAGGCTGCCAAGGTTTCCTTGGAGCTCCTGCAAAAGATGGCAATCAGAGAACCATCGGCCCCAAAGCCCGCGAGCCTATGGCTCATCTTGCACCGGTTGCAGGAGGCACTTAGCCTCAGAGGGACTTGTCCGCCAGGGACGTTTCTCACGAAGGTCCGTGCCTTAGGCTGGGAGTATCGAATTTGTATCCGGCAACCGGAATCCTTGGGTTCTTGGCTTGGTGGATCCTTGGTCGACAGACGGATCTTGAACCAGGGCCAGTGGTCGGAATGCGCTTTGTCCGCAGAGCTGCTTCCACCTCCAACTTCCCAGGAAAGCCCACAGCACTGGCGTTCTGCTGGGAGCGGCTGCATCGTCATCGACCTGGGCGCCAACATCGGAGCCTGCACGCTGCTTTTCGCTTCCATGGGTCACCGGGTCATTGCTGTGGAGCCTGAGCCATCAAACCTGCTCATGCTGCACGCCTCGCTCGCCCTGCCACAGCTGGAAACCGAACTCACGGCGGCAAGTTCAGTTGTCAAACGAAAATTCCGGACTCGTCAGAGCACTTGCAAACAGCTCTCGCGCATGCAAGGACACGACACTGGGCTTCGGAAAAGTGGCTATTTCACCTGTCGCCGTCGATGAGGTGGCTGGAACTGTCCAGCTAAGACGGAACCCGAAGCTGGGCTGCATCGCCCGAACGGACTAGGAGGCTCCAAAAACAAGGCCCCGAAAGGCGCATAACTTCCTGATGTGATGTAAGGTTCGACGCAGGCAACAGCACTATAGTTCAAAGCGGTGAGGCCCGGATTTCTGTCGAAGCGTTGCTCTGGTTGCATGTCCCACGCAGCATCAGCAACAGCCAGGAAAGCGCCGCTGTTGAAGATCAGATGCCTTTGGTGCCCGTGGGTGAAAGAGCAGTCAATTTCCTGTCGCAGCTCACTTCTCATTTCACGTGGGTTGTCCCTGAGTCTAGGTGGAGTTTTCCAGCATCGTCCCTGCACTCCCGTTGGACGACATAGCAGAGGAGCAGGTCGGCAGAAAATCAGGAGTTACACAAGTATTTGACAGGAACACACTTGAGCTGACAGGCTTTCCGCCTTGGTGGCTCCCTCTCAGACATTTGCATGATGCAACTTGGTCAACAAGTGCAAAGGGGGGTTGGACGAAGTCAGGAATCTCGAAGTTCCAAACTCCTACACTCATTGTCTTGTCCACGGAACATCAACGAATAGAACCTAGCTGGTAACCGCTGGACGGATTACGCCGGAGCCGGGGATGCCAGTGGCATGGCCTGACAAATTTGATCTTCAGCAGATGTTTGCTTCCTGAAGTCTGCCCTGGTTTCGGGTGGCACCCTTTCTTGATTGACTCTGGTGCTTTGAGGCTGCGGCCTTGTATTGTGAATCAAACTTTTCGGAGTCATAGTTTTCATGGGCTTAAGGCTTGGAGTTTGGGGTTGTGTGAGATGCAAATCCTGCCTAGACAGGGTGCTGCAGTGCGGCAAGTTTAAGCCATGAAGATGGTACACATCAGCCTACGATTGGAGGGACGATCTTTGAAACACAACATGGGCTCGCAGCTTTGGCATCACAGCGTGAAGCCATGCTGACGACTTCAATAAAGTCTTGGAAGTCCGCTGAGAAATCGCAGGGAAAAACACGCGTGTTTGCTCAGGAAGATGGACATCGAAGGAGCTGAGCTCAGAGCTTTGCGAAGTGCACCGAAGTTACTGGCGGGGCCACTTGCCTCAACCAGATCGGAAGCCGCACCTGCCTGGCCTTAGCCTCGTTTGTGCGAGGCCGCTGCGTGCAATCTCCTTCGAGTTCTCCCCAGGCATTCTGCTGAGAGGTTGTAACGGTCCTGCGCAGATATCGATGTCAGGACCGACAGAGGCAGACATAGCTGAAGCAGTCGTTCTCTTGCAGCTGCTGGCAGGGCATGGAAGCTTGGCTGCACCATTGACTGCCCAAAGTTTCAGGACATCGTCTTGCGAGCCATCCTCTTCGTGGCAAAATCCAACCAAGGCTTTGTGATCTTCGGACATCGCGGGATGACTAGCGGACTCGTCGTTAGCGAGGAACGCGACACTTGGCTGGCTCCAAACCATTGTATCGCTATCCAGCGTGATTCGACCTGCGTTGCGCTTTTGATGGTGGCTGGCCTAAGGAGTATGCAGCTCATGAGTTTGAGGGCCTTGCGCGGCATGTAGCATCACTTCGCGTGCCCGGATTGCTTTCAGCGCTGAAGCTTTAGCAGCTGTGGCACCCAAGAACACAATTTCAGGGCTGAGGCATAGACTCAGACCAACACGAGGGCGCGCTGCCCTTGATGCAATTATTTCACCCTACCAGTGCGCATGATCTCGACATGTTAACCTTCAGCTGGCTTCCAGATGTTCCAAAGTCACCCTTCGATCTGCGCAGTCGTTGATTTCCACTTTGCTCATAGAACATAGTTTAGGTCCTTAGGTGTGCAGTTTTCTGGATGGGAGAAGGCCGATGCAAGAGCATCTGCGCCCACCATCTGCAGATGCAGTTATAAGGTTGGATGCGGCGTGATCTTGCTGCCGGAAGAGGTAGTCGCCCTGTCCATTCGGCCAAAGTTCGGAGCCATGTTTCCCTCCATATACTTCACAGCAGGAGCTTGCAGCACGGCCGAATTCGGAGCCAGCGCGGCTTCGTGCCCCTGAACAGGCTCGGAGAAAAAGGCTGGGTCAGCTTGCTGCGAGAAAGTTTCGGTTTAAAGGCCTGCTGAGATTTTTCCCACATCCCAGACTGCGTTCGACGTCGGCTCAGCAGGAGGTCTGAGCACGGCTAGTACGCTAGTCACTACTAGCCTTCGCAGCGGATCGGAATACCATGTACTGAGCTGCAAAACCTCGATCAGAAAGCAGAAACACAACTGAAGCTGATGCCAGCTGTTGAAATTTGTTTTCCATCAGAATGTGCAAATGACCGATGCAGATGAGGATGCTTGCATCGAGGAGGCAAGACTTGCTAACGCCTCTTCAGTCCGCCGCCCGCGTATCCGTACGCAGAAAGCAGGTACGATTGGAGCACTTCCACACCTGGCTCGAGGAAGCACAGATCCGGCCCAGTGAGATCCTGCACCTGAAGGGTTTCGGTGGGGATGTGCCCAGCTTCTTTGACAAGGACGCCCGCGCTTTCTTAGTCTTTCGTCTCGCAAGCCCAAGTTAAGCCGACTTCTTGAGCTGGAAGCCCTGTGGTGCTGACGGAGCTGTTGAGTGTGGTATGGTCGGTATGGTACTGTGAAAATCCCCTGTCTTTTGGACTCTGATTTAGGCAAGCCGTGTTGACCTCCATACTAGGGACAATACTTGTTTGTGCTTATAGGAATCGCTTCAGCACTTGCTTGTACAGGGCCCTTGTCACATGTACCTTGCCGCAAACGTCTTGAGTCGCAGCGAAAATTGGCTAGCCTGTACGCACTGTCCACTCCGTAAGCTGGCATTTGCTTCAATCGTACATTTTGTCCGGCTAAGTGGAGCAAACTCTGATTTTCGGATGCGTGAGAAGGAGAAGAGAGATAGCAAGCAATAGAAGGAATGCACTCAATGTGGATTCCCGGTGCAAGCATACTTCAATGTGCCTTCAACGATCAAGCTGGACAAGTACTTCTGCCTCTTTTGGGCGTCGGGGCTGACAGACATACGGTTCAAGATTGCTCGTATGGCTGTGCTTAGGCCGCTCTCACCTCACTCACTGAGGGTTGCTGACTGCTAGCTGCTAGATTTGCGCACCCATTTCTAGAGCGTCGCGCGTGCGTGTGTGAAAAAAATTCTGAAAATTGAACGCCTTGGAGTGCAGAATTGCACATCGGGCCCAGCGGCCCGAATCGTAGAGTCCTTTGCGAATCACCTTATGGCATGACCCGCTCGTTGATGTCCGCGCAGGAGGCGGTTGCGGAAGCAAGCCGGTCTTCTCTGTTGGCACCGTGGCGCATGTCAACTAAAGCATTCTGATGTGTGTTTGGCGCTTCTGCATAGACGTCATCCGGTTGAAAGACGGGCATATCCGAGGTCTGGGATGGTGATGAGCTCAAAGAAACAAGCTTTACCAGATTGATTCCGGAATACCTGAAGTCTGGAGAAAGCCGACGAGTTGTTGCTTTCAGGCCCACAGTGCTGTGATTGCTTGACCAAAGAGGCAAAGAAGCCAAGTGCGAGCCCACAGGATAAACGATTCTATCGACAGCTTCAAGGCAAGCTGGAAGGAGGCAGTGGCTCGTGGACTTGTCTGGCAGTTTGCCGAGGGGTTTCAGAAGGCTTTCAAGACACCGGCTCGAGCTAACACAAACGAAGAGACACAGAGAAATTGAGCGAGAAAAGGCTCCGTTCAGACGTAGCGCGGCGTGCGTTGATCAGGTGCGAGATCTGACAGACACCCTGTCGCATCTGGAGAGTGCATAGGCGAGCCACCAGCGCAAGCATCAAGATGTCATGCAACAGCTGCAGGCACGGCAGGAATACGGACGAGACAAGAGAACCATCGTAAGGAGAAACGAGCAGCATAAGAAGGCCGCGTTAGCATTCTACTTACAGGGTGTCGAGCTGTAACAGATGCACGGGACATGGTCGTCCAGTTAGGGCTGAGCTGTGATCTCGCGTGAAAACGCAGCCGCTTGAGGGTGGGCCCGTACCTTGAAAACTGAGCAAAATGTGAGGGAACAAAGCCTGTACTCGTAGAAACTTCAGACCGCTCCTGCATTCAGTGCATTGCTCTCTCCTTCAGTCGGATAGGTTTCCAACTGGAACTGCGACGAGACACAGTGCCACAGCGCTTCCAGTGGGTTCTCTACACCCTTTTGCTTCGGTGCCTGGGTTACTCAGGACCTGGGACTTGTTGATCATGAGGTCGTTGCACACGGGTCGAGCTCACTGCACGTGTCACACCGACTTAAACCGAACTTGGATGCAGGCGTAGCGCTGCTGCACAAGGGAATGTGCAAGCAAGCAAGAGATCCTAAGCTCTAATTCGAACGGACCATGAAACCAGCGCGCGCACGGGGGGTCGTGGGGTAGTGGTGTTCCCTGGCACCCTTGTGCGGAAGACTGATAGACTGTGCCTGCCCTCAGTTTCCGAGCCGCCAGCCTGATGCCAGCCGAACAGAGGCACGCCTTCCGGCCGTTGCTCCTCAAAGGTGTCTTTTCCAATCCGTGTCGCGAACTGCTGGACATACTGACATACGGATGCGCAATTGCGCAGTGTTCAGGCTACCTCCATGATTCGCCTTTCCAACGCATGAAAGAACAAATTAATGACACGATCAGATCTGAAAGCTGAGTCTTTTTTTAGCACTTGGTGTGCGCCGCCGGCACTGTTCAACAGATTTTCAGCTGTGCCGATGGAAGGTTGCAGCCGCATACCCCGGCCGCATAGCTGTTGTGCCCGTTGACCTCGCGGAGCTCATGAGTCGCCTTAGGCGATATGAGGCAGCCATGAAGCCTGGCTCTTACTCTTCTGATGCTCTTCAAGAAAGCTACACTCGTCGCTCGCAAAGGGATATACCACCGGGACGGCAAAAATTTGTAATGCTCGGCCGCCTGGCCATTGAGGCCAGCTCAGGCGTAGGGCATCGGCTTCTGCAGAGCACGGTCCCTCGCCAGGCCAGCGGCGCGAAGCAAGTCGTTGCACTTGGTGGAGGCCAGGGCAGAGCAGACTGAGCTTGCAGGGAAAATCCTTGTGTGTGTACATATGGACACATATCTGAATATGGATAGTATGGATGGATAGAGAGGCATCCAGTCCACTGTTTGGTGTAGACCCACAAATTGCTTCCTTGTGCTATGAAGTCTGACGTGTTGCTCCTTGGAGAGCAGACCAAGACTAGAGCTCATAGTGGCTCATGGCAGACGTTGTTCGTTTGTAGGGTTGCATTGGTTTGACAAGGGGTTCAGAGGTTGAGGGGCGAATGCAGTAGCAGTTCGGTTGTACGAGAATGTGTCAGTTGATCTGCTTTCCCAAGCCTGCCCCTTCCCAATGGTCACTCGGGTTCGAAGTTTGCAACCATGGAACTGTCGGGGCTGCAGTCACTTCTGGTTTGTGCGTCACCGTGTCCAAACGAAGTCTGTGTGTGCGCCTGCGCAGAGGGAGCATCAGCCAAAAGGAAGCTGAGCTCAGCTGCGGCGAGGACACCGGGCAGTGCATGAACTGCTCAATCCACCGTTCAGATCGGCGGTTCATGGGCTAGACTGTTGTTTGGCTACGGTTCAATCGGCCCAGCTGACTGCAAAGCGACTCGCACTTTAGCGAGCAGTGAAGGTGTCCAGTACGTTCTGCCAGCCGCCTACCCTGTGCCCTGTGCTCGATCCGTTTGGTGATGCTTGATGATAATCATAATAATGCGAAGGTGGCTAGAATCCTTTAGTTTGCAACTGGCGATGCTGCTCTCGGCGAGCAGGGGCATTGCAGCTGCGACTGAGAGCCAGGACGTCTTCTGGACAGTCTTTGCCCTCAGCCGCGGAAAACCTGAGCAGCATCTTGGTCTGCACGACTGCCGCAGATAGACAGATGTAGGGAGATTGTCCCGAGCATGCATGCCGCGAGTTCTACAGCGAGTGTTGCATATGCGGGCAGACACGATCCGTCTTTCAGGGCACCTACTCTCATGGACTGGGCTGCAACCCACCCGGACATTGCAAGACTGGTTGGTGGCCAGGACCGCATGGAGTAGATCGTGTCATCTGGGGGGATGATACTGCCCAGTGGGCTTGCCAAGCCGTATGCTGCAACAGAGGATCCAGATGAAAAGCTCGGCTTTTTCACCGAATGCGGCAGAGATTGGTCTGAGCAGCGGAAAGTTGCACAAAGCCCGAAAGGGTCAGCCAAGCCTGGCTAGCCCGCTTGTATGGTTTAATCCGACACGAGCCACGGGTTCAAGGTTTACGTTCATTGCTTCAACGTTTGTTTCACTCCAGGTTCCGTGACAAGGACCTGCATGTCCGGTCAAATTATACCCAGGAGGTCAAAACGGAACGCAACTTTTGCTTTGTTTTGTCCACTGGTCCAGAGATGAGGGGTTGTTGCACGGTTCTTCAGCAATCCGGCGAAAGCTTGCGATGGTGCGGCTGCTTTCTGGCTCGAAGTTTGGTTTACCAAAAGAGCCAGAGAGGCAGGCTGAGGCAGGCTGGGACAGGCGGCATCCAGCCGTTGGCGTTGCGACTTTGCAGCCAGCGACAGTGATGCGCGTTGACGCTGCTGAATTTGTGCCCCTCGCTGGATCCTCCAGCGGTGATGGCTCCTGGATCCAGGGCAGCTCACACCCGGCAACGTCAAGCTCCCAAGCCCCGTGTTTCGCAGGGCCCCAAAAGCTGCTGGCTAAGGTTCGGGGGAGCTGGAAACGGACTGTCTGCAGACAGTCCCGCCTTTGTTCCCAGCGGACAGGACAGGACGATGGAAAATTCTGGACATGCATGCCGCTGTATCTTTCCCACTGCCTCTTTCAGGATGTATCGTGGCAGGCACCGCCATGGGAGGTGGGGGAGATCATGGGAGAACACACACGACAAATAGAAATCTGCTTGCAGCTCCAATTTACGCAAAAGGTGTGGCACGGCCAAGACTACGCCGCTCCAGTGCCAGAGTAGCCTCTCTTGAGGATGCCCTTGTGGGAAGATTCGCAGCAACTCAGCCAACCGTCGAACCTCGGCCTGCTACAAAGCCGCATTTAAGGTACAACGCGCCAGAGAGCACGGAAGCTGCGCCGATCGTGACATACGTGGACGAGGCCTCCCCTCTCATAGTTGTGGGCCAGCTCGCTAATGTCGTGACCATGATGCGGACAGGAAACGTTCCTTACTCCTCAGCTCTTGGACGAGATGCCGGAGCAAGCACACTCACTGCCTTTGTCCCCAAAGCTCCTCGAACGCAAGTACAGTAAGCATTCGAAGGTGGGCCCTCCCGGTTGAACATCTCGATGTGTTTTTTCGCTGTCCCTCCGTCAATGATGTTGTTGTTTCGCTCTGTGCAGAAGATAACATCAGCTACTTCCATCTTCGCAGCACCACCGGCAGAATGCCCGTGCGTAATCAAGGCCGACGCGACCTTGTCACACGGTTTTTGGAACATCAGTCCATTATGAGGTCGATCGATCGCCTGTTCCAAAAAAGGGGTGAAAGCGGATGAGCCAAGAGCCAGCTGCAGCCAGCTGCCCCATTGCCACAGTGAACTCACACTCCTTCCGACCGGAGGATCCACTGAAGGTAGTGCCGCTGCTAGCCCTCTCAAGCCTAAACTCGCTTCTTCCTACCCTTGCTCTTTCACTCCCTCTCTGTCTCGCTCGTTCTCTCTTTCTCTCGCTGCCTCCCCCCACTCTCGCGCTCTCTCTCTCTCTCTCTCCCTCCCCCTCCCCCTCCTCACGCCTGCTTCGCGCATGCACCCGTAATCGTTCAGGATCTGCTCACTCCCAGCTACCTCCGTTCGTCCTCCTTTGGAACTTCCACTGCTGCTTCGCCCACTCCTTCATGGGCTCCCAAGATGGTACCATCAGCCCCACGTCCACAAGACAACAGGCATCAACAGGCCACGCTTTCTTGTCCAATTGAACCCGCCGCCGCCCTCTATGATCCAAGCCCGCCATACCCGCAAGAAGCGAATCATCCAAGTGTACCCCGACAATATCCGAACAAGCACAAGCTTGGGCAATCTGAAGAGGCCATGGCAGCGTGACCGGGGGCGTTTGTCATTTCCCATTCAGGAGGTAGGACAACGAATGATCGCGACCTTGTCGGGGAAGATGAATCGGTGATTGTAGGATTCAATGGCACTGTGCAACTGCGTGGAGGATGTCTTGGCTATGGGAGCGAAGCGTGAGTACTTGACGAATCGCACAGCGCGGCTAAGCTGTACCAAAATTGTTCGTCGAGTGCCGTCTGAAATCACCGACGAGTCTTGACACGGCCGTTACAAGTTTTCATGTTTGAAGCGACGAGCCGCGCGAGCTGAGGCGTTTAGCAAAGTACCACCATCGATTGTAGATCTGATGGCTCGAGCGCTTGAGACCGATTGCCTGTGTTTTGCCGCTGTTGTGTAGTTCCCGGCACCTTGAGACCCTGAGCTTTCCAACCCAAGCCAAGACTGGATCCGTTGCACAGGTCCGGCAAGGAGGCCCAAGATGACGGTAGCCTTTCAGATGCTCTACTGCAGGGGCAGTGCCACCTTTACCCATGGCATCCTTCTGTCTGCATCCTTCCTGACGGTGGCTTAGGAAACTCCCGACAAAGAGCACCGATCCCAGTAAGACCTGGTGTTCATGCTTGCATGGGAAGCAGATTGCAAGGCGTGCCTGTCAGTCAAGGGTTCGGTGCAGTGGGCTGTCGGGCATTTCTGTTCTGTTTGCATGGCTAACCGTTGCGGCTAGTGCGTGCATTGCATGGCATCGGCATGCATCGTTTGGAAAGCATTGAACGGTCTAGGAGGTGGCAACTACCCCTGCTGCATACCGAGGTTCGTGTTCTTACACAACCACACAGGCTTCGGCGGCAGTCAAGCAGCGACCGCGACGACAGATGAACGATCACGCCACAGCGAGCTTACAGGATCGGTATGCTTCTCACAGCCACCATACTGTATACCGACTGCCTTTTCACCAACTTCTGTCTCCGGCAGCAGGCACTGGCGGCGCGGCCAGTAGCACATGTCCATCGGCAACTGCTGGATGCAGCGCGGGTGTGCTCAGCGTTCATGGTCGCAAGCTCCTGTGGACTCTTACAGGAAGGGATTGCCGCAGCCTTGGCCGTCGGAGCATCTCCCGTCAAACTGTCAGAATCGGCCGCAGGCGATTGCTTGTTTCAAGGTATCAATCCACAGATTCGCTTTCGCATGTTCCATAGTGACATAGTGTTTCCCGCATGGCCATAACGATCTGGGAATCGCACAGTCGTGTCGCCCATGGATGTTAGCACAGAGCACAGAGGTCAGAGCTGCAATGATCTCTTCGTGCTGGACGAGTGGCCTCAGGGCGAAGGCCCCTCACAGAGGGTTGCATGGGAAGCTGATCGTGCCGAGTAGGCTCGGAATGTTCCGCACAAAGGAAGTGGTGTGATGAAGGTCTGCGTTAGGTGGACTGCAGGCCGCATGATCAGGATTCTAGCTTTCCGGCTGGTCGTGGTTCAAGGAAAGAGGGGCAGCTGCTGTAGCACCGACAACCGGCGACGGGCGAAAACGAATCCAGAGCTGCAGCAGATCCTGGCCCATGTTTGGAGCAGGCAAGGCAGCGCAGCCTGCAGCACCGATGAGCGAGCAATCAGGACAATGTGCACAACCGACCGAAAGCGATTGGCGAAGCAGCTCCAGTGCAAGCAATTTCCGAAGAGCGGCGGCAAGCTCCACAAAGAGATCAAACAAGCGAAGTCCTGGAAACATGCCTTGCATCTGCTTTACGGTCAGGACCGTCGAGGCGTCCTGGCATGTACTGCGGCCTTGAGCAAATGCAGCTACCACTGGAAACATGCCCTGCATGTCTTGTCGGATTTTGCCCCGTACGCCGTGGAGAGAAACACCGTCACCTTCAACGCGGCCACGAGTGCATGCGGCAAGGGCCGCTGTTGGCAAGGTGCATTGCATCTGCACGAGACGCTACAAGGGAGTGGACTTGAGGCCGACACGATTTCTCACAACGCTGTCGTGAGCGCTTCAGAGATGTTCTCCCAGTGGAAGCGTGCTGCTGCGAGTTTAGTGCGCATGAAAAGGAGTACAGTTGTTCTCGAATCCCGGCTGCTATGGAAACATTTTGTTTTGGCTGCCTGGCTGAGTCCTAACGGCTGAGTCGTAGAGGAGCTAGACGCCACGAGCACACCAAACTGAGGACAGCATCACTTTCAACTCTGCGATCTCTGCGCTGGAGAAGGGTGCTCAATGGCGTGCAGCCCTCCTGCCCTTCACGAGCATGTTGTGGCACGCCTGCCGCCCTAGTGCAGGTCCCCTAGATATGTGTGTGTCTGTCTGCGTCTGTGTGTGTGTGCTGCAGTATGTCGAGGACGTCACTCCCCGAAGCCCAAGGTCGTGACCTACGGCGCGGCCGTGAGTTGTTGCAGCAAAGAAGAGACCTGGTTCGGGGCCTGGCAGCTCCTGGGGCAGATGACCAGCAGCCAGCTGCAGCTCTCCATCGTCGCTTGTGGCGCTGCAGTAAGCGGCTGTGAGAAAGCGGGCTCCTGGACGACGGCCCTCGGCTTGATTACACAGATGGATCGCCGGAGCTTGTCCTCCAACATCATCTCTCAAAGTGCTTTGATCAGTGCCTGTCAGAAGAGTGCCCGCTGGCTGTGTGCAGCACTGCTCCTCTCTGGGGCACAAGTCAATGCGGTTCAAGCAGACCGGCCCATGCAGAATGCCTTGATTTTTGCATGTGCCAGGGATAACCAGTGGGTCGGAGTACTAAGCTTACTCGACGCTTCGCCAAACCTGTCTTTGCAGCCGAATGTCGCGACATGCAACTCTGTCCTGGCAGCTTTTGAGGGTGGAGGCTGGCAAGAAGCCTCCTGCATCCTTGCCCGCATGAAGTCCCTGGAGCTGAAGCAAGACGTGATAACACACACTTCTGTTTCCAGCATCTTGGAGAAAGTTGTACAATGGCGGCGCTCCTTGCACCTTCTCTTCATTCAACGTGTAAGCCCTCAAGGGAACAGCGAGAGCTTGAGCCTGCTCAACATGAACTCGGTCATCAGTGCCTGTTCACGTGCAGAAAATTGGCGGATGGCTGCTTGGAAGCGTTTGAAATCAGCGAGGGCCTTGCGCCTTGCCTTGCCTCACTGTGGCGTCTTTCGAGTCTCGATTGTAAGGTCGCAACGATGATGGGCCGCATGCAGGATGAATGGCTTGAGCCAGACCTGGTGACATGCAATGCAGCCATCACCGCCTTGGAACGACGCTACGAGAAGGCCACAGATATGTTTGATCAAGCCATCTTGCGCAGTTTGCAGCCCAACGAGATCACATGCAACGCCTTGCTGACGTCATGCACGATCGGGCACTCGTGGCAAGCGGCGCTGAAGCTGTACGCATGGATGCAGAGTTCTGCCCTCGAGACAAACATCATCTCTTTTGACATGGCTCTGTTGTCGTGCTGCGCTGGGGGTCAGTCCAAGCTGGCCCTGAACATTTTAAACTCCGTGCAGCAGCAGTACTCATCTGTACTGCGGTCTTGGAAGTGGTAGCCCAGCATCTGTGAAAGCTGCTTGTCTCTCTGCTTCGGAGCTTGGCACTCATCGTGTCCGCGAACCGAAGGTCTTTTTCAGTTTCACGCTGCAGTGTCACCAGCCAAGTTCGTGTTCAATAGTTTGGCACCCTTTTGCAACATGGTGTTGATGGGGGGGGGGGCCCGCAGACGGTAACGTTCCACCATGTGCCAGCTGCTCTCCAGAGCATGTTTCAAGCTCTCGTTCCACTGTTGCTTCCTCTGATGTCTCTCAGGTGTCGAAAGCCAGCGGTTCGTGGTTGCAGGAACGTGGGGATTGCAGTTTGCGGCATCGTGCAATTACAAAAGATTACTAACCTGTCGACATGTTTTGACCAGCTTTTGGAAGTTTGTTCGACATATATTGAGCCTCAATGCTTCCTGCCAGGAGTGATCTTAAGATTGGTCTTTTTCCCTGCTGGCTCTGCATTGACCGGAGATGGCGACTGTGCCGTCGGGTTGCTCTCCGAGGACGCTTGTTGCAAAGCTATCAGCCTTACAGCAACAAGTTCTTCAAAAGAGACTGGGCGATCAACACTTGCAACGATGCGCAAGCCATCAAAAAGGCTATGTGTGGAAGCTCAACAGGGGGTTCTGACGAGAAGACGTTGGTGGCCGGGAGTAGCTATGGCGCGTTCCGCACATCCCAATCTGTGTATGAACGGCAGCAGCACAAAATGAGGCTTAGATTAGAACAGAAAGGGCAACCTTCCCCAAGGGCACCGCTGCCCGATGCTGGAGTAGAATCAGCCTTGCCAAGGCAAAACCATCAAAAGCTCAATGGCCACTCTTGCCGGAGATCCTAGGCCTACGGCGAAGGATGTGTTGGATACTGGTGGTGTGTGGTCTTAGGTTCTTGCATGATGTGGGGTTTCGCTGTTTGTTTGAGACAGAACCTTTGCATGTGGTTGAATAGAAGGTTCGTCGTTCTGAGAGACTTGCTGCTGGAATCCATGCCGGCCTTGTGCGAGCTGCGAGTCGAAGCTGATTGTAGAGACTGTCGTCTGTTATCCATTTGTGAAAATTGTATTGCGCACACAGACGCCTCGCCCGGATTGCCCCAGCCGCGAGAGTCGAAACTGGAAAAGTCTTTCAAGTTCAACTTCGCAAGGGCTCCTCCTTGTCCACGCAGCTTTCGACCCAGCCTCAGCCCTTGTTGCTGAAACAGAATCGTGAAATACTTGATGCCCGTTTCTGACACGCGGACTTTGATTGAGCCTGGCTGGGAAAGTCACAGCCTCATTCAAAGCTCTTGCGAGTTTCACTGTGCGTCTCCATCCTCAAAGTACCGCAGCTTTTCCCCTGCGGCACATGCTGTGCTGACCCACCGCAGAGGGCACAGGTCAACATCCGTTCGGCTCACCACTGCTCCTGCCAGTCTTGCGAGCGAAATCTGCTCGTTCCATTGGCAGCATGAGTTACGCACATCTCGAATATGTCTTATCGTAACTCTTTAAGACAGCGTCCCAGCAGTCCTAGCCTAGCATTCGCAGCTAGGGTCTCCGGGTTTGGTACCCAGGGTCTTGGGGAAGCTCTTGGTCCGCTCCCCATGTCTGAACTCCCTACCAGACAAGCGGGTGATGGTCGACTTGGCCATGCGGGCATGGGGGCTGGCAGAACTACAAGCAACATCGAGTCAATTATTCTGTGGTCTGCTGATAGACACCTCGTGAAAGTTCAGAGCACACAGCTGCAAATCAGCCGTCAGTTTAGCACGGCATCGCCAGTCTCGATTGATTGGCCTCGCACAATTGCCTCCACAAACCGCGAGCGGGCCTCAGAATTCTCGGTAACAAGGCAAAGAGCAAGTGGCCCTCTGCTCCGAAGCGTGCAGGACAAGGCTAAGTTGAAGTTCGAGCTCTTCCTGAACGATCGGCGGAGTGGCACAAAAGTGATGCTCGGGCAGAAGTTCAGCGCCCTGGATGTATTGGAGTCAAACGGAAAGGACAGCATGCTCAATACCACTAAGAATGGTTTTTGATCGGAGATGGTTAAGGCAAGTTTCGAAGCAGCTTTCAATGTTAGCGGAGGACATTCTTTACTGTTTAAAGCCAGCAAGCCCTCCAACCAGCACTGTCGGCTCGTCATCAAGGAACAAGGCACAGGGCCCTTTAGTGCAGCAATGTTCCCCGCATGTCCTGCCCATGCCAGCCTGCCATGTTTGAGCATGGCAGCCTGACATTGGGCTTTTGCTGTGTCCGATCTTCCTGAGTTGTCGCTCGAATCCGAGGCTGCGACTTTCGAAGCTTGGCTCGGCAAGACAGCAACAGGGTCCAAGCAATCGTACGCAGCACCAACCGGCAGCGAAGGAAAGCCTGACTTCTCAAGCGAGACAGACACGATCACAGTGGGGCTTGAAGTTTACAGCAACCTGAAGCTTGGATTGCATTAGATGAAGCCCCGAATACCTGTGCTCACACGGAGGCCCCAGAGTTTTCCTTCCCCGAGGTTCTACTTCGGCTTCTCCTGAATGAGATGCGCTTGAGCGCACACGCATGCGAGACAGAAAAGTGCATATGTCGGTCTCAACTTTTATCGAACAAGTGTTTGCATTTTGCTCTTAAGGTTATAACCATTTGAATTATGATTTTATATTATGAAATTATGATCATTAAATTTTTAAAGCGATGAATTCTGATATTATAATGGGTGATTTAGAATATATTTTAATTGTCTTTATTTCAAAAATACAGTGTTTAAAAAACTATATACGAGATATTAGATTAAATTTCTTATTTCCAAGTCAAAACAATTTTATTTTACTCCATAAAAGCTTGACTTTTTTGATTAAGAATTCGTGATGAAAATAGATTTCTATAACATTGAAAATCACAAAAAATGTATTGAAATATTCTTGTATTTTTATAATTATGTGATATCATGTATTCAAGAGATATATTATTATATTCTTAAATTGATCTGGATTCATTATTTTAGAACTAAATATGAGAATGATATTGTATATTCTGAATAATTTCCATTATTGAATATGATATTCTAAATTATCTTATTCTTTCTTATCTTGAATTATGAAGATACGGAAGGAAAATCATTATTTATTTTATTGATTCGGAGGAATGAACCTACGAATAAGAGAATTATTGATTAAAATTTGATATTGATATATATTATTCTTAAAATATATTTCAAGATATTCGAAAATGATGAGATGATTTCTTATTATTATGTAAAGAGATGTTTATTTTTGAAAAATAATTAGAGAATTTCGAAAATATTATATATTGAAATATATATATATTTCTTCTATTTGGAAATGATAAAAATTTAATATTGAAGGTTTGACTTAGAATTTTATATGCAATTGTTTCGTTTTTACGAAATTTGAATGGCAAATCCTCTATGATTCTGAATTTTCTTTTATATAAAAAAAATAATTTGAAATTGATTTTTCATTTTTTTTCTAACTCAAGTGCCGAAAAATATATGAAGGAATTTGTTCGATGAAATCTAAATTGATGATATGATATATACATTTCTTTTATATATGAATTGAAATGAATCTATATATCTTATTATTTCATAGAGCTTATATTGATATGAGAGATGAAGATAATTATAAGTAATATTAAGAGATTTGAATTATTAATAATTAGATGATTTCTTCTGAAAATATCTATAAATTCTATGAGAATTCTTATAGAATTTATGTCAAAATATCATGATTAAAAAGATTAGTATTTTCTCAAGAATGAGTTTTATAATGATTCTTGATGAATTTGTTTTCATTCAAAAAGATTGGTATTTCGATAATATATAATGATTAATGATGATTTTAAATGAAAGAAAATCTAACAGATATATATAAATTCGATTAAATCTAGAAGAATGAAGTGGAATTTGTCGGAAGATTGATAATCTTTATCTTTATATTAACAATGATGATTTTTTTTTCAAATGGTCTCTAAAAAAATATATGATATGATTTTGGAGACATTTCTCTTAGAAGAATTAAGAATAGTTTTATGGATTTCTCTGGGAATATATTTGCAAATTCTTGATAGAAATTGATAAAGATTTGGAATTTTTCGATTCTATAAATATGAGAATTTCATTAGGAATTCTTATTCTATGAAAGTTCGTATTATCAAAGATATATATGTGATATGTGCAAAAAATTATCTCCATGAATTGAAAGAAAATCTCGACGATTCTAGATTTTTCTGCAAGATGAATAAGATTGATTTCTGATTTATTGATTTTGATCGATATCTATCTACTTGATTTATTTATATATATTTTTTTTTTATATATAGAAGACGTAATCTGTATCTAAATATTTCAAGATAGATCATAATTTGATAGGTCCTAATTTCGAAGAGGGATTTTTTATATCTTGGAGAACTATATTTCATATATATATATATATATTATTTTTCATTTTCTCGGATTATCTTTCTGATTTTTTTGGTGCAATTTTTATATGAATATAAGAATATCTGATAGAGAGATTATTATACGATAATGAGTCGTTTAGTAGGCTCCGATAGATATTCTGATTTATAGGTTTGACTTATTTTGCACGAGAAATTATAATAAATGATATTTGAGGAAGAACGACGGATTTGATCTATCATGATGAAATTTTAATAATTTGTCTAAATTATATCTACGAGCCGAAGAAATATGTATTAATATTCGAAGAATTCACGACATGATATTTGACTAAAATATCATATTCTTCCTATATATTCTTTGATTTCTAGATAAGAAATATCTATGAATATAATATCTATGAATATCTTAGCTAGAATATAAATTTGAAAGAGAAGATAATAAGATATTAGTTAGAGATGGCATATCTAGATAAGAAATCATTAATAAGATGAGAATCGATATAAAGATATATCTTCGTCAAATCAAGAAAATGATGATATCTAGAAATATATCCAGGATTTCGAAAAAATCGATTAGATTATAAATCTAATGATATTGAAATTGATATTCTAGCTTATGAGATCC